CATCCCGCGTTTGCCAGATCCACGAGGGTATCATGTCATTCGTTTTCCTTCTCATTCATCCACTCTTTTTCCGAAGGAAACCCTAAAAAGTCAATTCATTCAAGCCTATCAAAAATAATTGGCACATTCTAACCGTAGGGCTTTCCATAAACCTCGGCATGGCTCTTAATGAATGTTGTATATATATGAACCCTTTTATAAGGTTTTTATATACACTCATTGGGCTGATGTTCCGACGTATCGCCTTCTCAAGAGCCTGAAACGGATCAATTCACAAATTGTTTTTGATCCAATCCAAGCTCCGAAGAAGGCGATACCGCCCGAGTCTCAGCCTAACAAATTTCTTACAAAAACCTGTATGCACATTGTTTTTTCATGACCTATGTACATCTTTTTTGAACATAACTTCGCTCTAGTAATAAAGCATTCTCAGTTTAACAGAACATTTTACAAATCTTGAAGGAAAATGGGATTGGACTTGGTCCTATCCCTTGTTTGCCACTACCCTGATGAACGTACCTCTTCTTTGGGAGTATGCATATTTTTCCGACGAGTGGGTAGTCTAAACCTGGTGGAAACTGATGAGGAAAGGCCAATGGGTGGCAGATTTCTTACTAGAGCTAATGTCAATAGCTCAGACCAGCTCTTGCTTTATAAGATTCTCTGTCCTTCATACTTTCCAAACTTATTGTCTCTCTGAAGTGATGGCAATGCACGGATGTCTCAATAAGTAAATTTGTGTGCAAAGAAGTAGGTTTTTCATTCAAGATTGATGTTCTGAAGAAGTAATCGCTTGTGACTCCTATTGTTTACGTTTTCTTTAAGTTTTTTGAGGGGTTCTTTGTCTGTACTATAGCGAATCGCGTAGATGAAATGGCCTTTTTAATAAGGATTCAATTATCATACTTGTAGACGCACAATCATACTTAAAACTATTCATAGCAGTCTTTTTATGCAGCACAAAGGTAGATGTCGGTGCAGATCTTCTCTGGTGGGTCGTGGTCCTGAAATTATCGAAATTTTTTGAAAATCTGATATTGGTTGTTTTCAGGGAAACAAGAGAACTTAAATCAGTGATCGCTAGAGGATTCAGAGCTTAAACTTCTATCGCATTGGGTCTTTTTTGGGAACGAAGGCTAGGCTAGATTATTTTTGCATTCTGTTGCCTGATCAGTCCGTAACAAGCTTTCCCGACGAGGATACTGACTTGAAGCTCATCGATTCTCCTATACTGTTGTCAAATTTGAAACAGATTCGAATTAGCCCGATATTCTAGAACTGGTCAAGATGCACAGTGCAACTTGGACCCTTTTCCCTGTCTTTTTTTGTGTTTCTGTGATAATGTCAATCATGAGTATTTCATGTTCGTGGAATATCTAGCCTTTGTCGAAAACGGCCATGAAACTGCCGTTGATTCACATCAGATAGCAAACGATGCCGTATTTTATCTGGTCAGTTAATTCATTTCATTTTAGCTCTCTCACTCTTCAGTAGACGCAGGAAGGGGACATATCCTTCCCGCGTCGCCTCTCATCAGGTAGATGGGATGCGATGTCGAAGAGATATGAACCGTTCCTGTGTCTACAATTGTCTATTACGCCTACTCTGTCTACTATCTTGATTTGCTCGAACTTAGATTTGTTCTCGAGGTACTTTGAGTTTGCAGAGTTGAAACCGTACCTTCAATTTCTCAATAATGTACTTGAGGTTCTTGGCAATGATCTTTTCGCAGTAGTCAACCAGAAACTCAGGCATATCGTCGCGACAGAACTGCTCCACGGCCTAAAGCAGGACATTTGGTCCATATTCTCAATACCCAATCGAGGAAAGTAAAGAAAGGTAGATGAGGTAAGCTTAGTTTTCAAGGGTATTTCGTAGTATGTGGAACTTCCAACCAATTCTAAGGTTCAAACTTCTAGAAGGTTATGCTATTATGGTAACTGAAGTGTACCCAATTACGGCGAAGGTGCTCTAGGAAAACTATTGTGTAGGACCGATTTACAGTTTGATCTAGTCAAATAGAACGTTTTGAACCGATACTTGCTCGGGAGTTGCAGTTTAAAACCACATTCGGAGGTTGTGATTCGTAGGTCTCCCATCTTCTTGGAATTCCTGAATAAAAGGTGAATAGAAGGCTCAAAAGTTCAGATAAATGGTAGATCACGTGCGAAGTGTCGCAAAGGAAGTCTCGGGTTCGTTATCCGGGGTGCCTACTCATAGCTGAAGGTCTATATCCTGAAGGTTTCGTTGGATAGCGATATATTTAAAGGCTTTACCATACTTGAGCTTTCACAATCAGTTATGTTTGAAAGCAGTACCTTTTGAACGTCTCCTCCTTGTTTCAGCACTTCATCGACTTTCTTTATCAAATTTTCGCACATCTCACAGAGTGGCTTTTTTCTTTGTGCTCCGCTAACAGTCATAGTGACGAGAATAACAGCAACAAAAGCAACGGTAGCCTTCATCGTTCTAAGAATTCGGTCATATGTAAGCAGTAAGACTTGTCTGCTGAAGTAATAGCGAAATGTGGTTGAAATTTCAGCGTCACTCAAGGCACTCATATAGACGACAAACTCTTAGAATCACTCCGAACAAAAGAAAAAGAATGGAAGGGAATCCTGTATCTTCAGATTGGCATCTTTGTGACTGCAAGCGACTATGCGGCCACTCACATCGAAGCTATAGTCTTGTAAGTAACTTAGAAACGATACTTGGTCATTTACATCCAGTACTGCGATACGGTTGAGATACTTGAGGAAGCAGTTGATTACTTTCTTGTTCCTCCCAGAAAACCAGATGCAAAAAGGGTTTATCTGGAGGTTAAAGTTGTAAAGAGAAAAGAGATATAGTCAAAAATTGAAGGAACGGGTGTTCGGCTAAGCTCTAACAAATCTAGCAATGGAGCGTGAAATTGAAACGAAGAGAAGAAGTGACTGAAAGACCTATAAATTAATCGACTTGTGACAGAAAGGGAGGGGTTGTCCGACTATGACTAGAAAGATAGTGGAACGTACTACCACATACTTTTAAAAGCCTGGGTCACTGCATATCTTATCAAAGTTTGAATGCTTGTTTTATGTTTGCTTGGATGACTGTGACGGTGTTATACATAAGTATGAATCACGCAAATGGAACCGGCAACGATGTAGACTTTGCGTTAGGCTGTGCATTCACCTTAGGCAGTAGATTAATATGTAAGAAAGCTGACAGCCAACGGTAGAGTCAGCGCTCTTTATAATATGCTATGTTATGCTGTTCTTATGCCAGATAGCATCACAATCACATCACGTGGGAATCGAGCACGAAGTCGCGGAGCTTAGTTGGTATGTGAACCCCTTCTTTCTTCTGCTGATATCTCACGGATTCGAACATTGACGGCCTACATATGTGTGCTTGACTAGCACGTCTTAAACGGAAAACCGGTCTTTCATCGATTGATTGGCTGCTCCACGTTTTAGTAGATGTTAGAAACCTACTAAGGCGAAGGAGGTCTAGTGGCAAAAGGCACACTATCATACGTGCGTGGTCTCGGGATCGAGTCCCGGAACGTTACTCGCTTAAACAAACGAGATTCCATTTCTCCGGGGTCGATTAGCTGGTACCAGATGAGTCTGGGAGGATAAAAGCATGGCATGACTTCTTCATCGGCTCGCCTCCACAAAGACTTTATTCTCTATTCCTCATTAGGAACTGCTGGGGCTAAGGCAGTCGCTTCACAGTTGTTGATTGTAAAAGTTGCGTGAAAGCTCTTAAAGCACTAATTATTGCTTTGGTAGCGAAATCGGGCTTATCGCGTACCTCTCCGAAATAGGGAATTTTTGGTGTCTTCGGATGGAACATAACAAATCGCAATTTTCATCAGGTGCTTTAATTTGCTGTTATGTTCCATCAGGTGTTCCACTGCACAATCATCTCTCTGCCTCTTTGACAAGGCTTTTGAAAAGCCAATGATGTATTGACCGGCGTGAGTTTTAACCAGTTCTTTGTTTGCAGAGCTAGTGCAGGAGTGAAATGTAGAAGGAATTATGTTTAAGCTTTCAGAGTGGTTGGCCGTTGATCGTTTTGTAGCAGCTTTCTCAGGAGACATGAGGAGCATGTACATGCCGAAGATGAGTTTGAGAGAATACCATGACTTGGCTATCGTAATCAAGAGATGAGAGAAGTCATATTCAAAATAGCTGCTAAACGAAATGAACATAACTGGATCGAGCAATGACAAAAGACCACTGAATGCATGCTATATAACATAGCATAGTAATGGCGGCGATGAAGTGGTGGTTGTGTATACAGGACAGCAAAAAATAAACTTTAGATGAAATCCGATGCCATACTGTGCAGTCCGAAAAAAGCGGCTGCGTGATGCAGTGTTTGATGAATTTCTCACTTTGGCTTCCATTCTCGGCAACCTGCCAAACTCGCATGTTCAGTGAAAACCTATATGTCCTTTTGCATGTGGTAACTCTTGCGGCGTTTAAGACAGAGACAAAATTTAGGCAAGATATCGGCTATAAGGCGGCTGAAATAAGTGACCGAAGAAGTTACGAGTTCACTCACATGAGCCAGTTACATTTACGGAATTTGGAAAAAAGGTACGTTGGATTTTGGTCTTCAATTAGGACTGTTTCTGTAATGGCCTTCGACCCAACGGGAAAAGAGACTTTTTGGCATCGTCTCAATTTCATTTCATTCCAACATACACTTTGAGGGCTATGTATTTTATTCAAAAAGGGTTCAACGACTTCATCTCAGAAAAGAATGCACATCGCCTCGGTGTGCTTCTCTAGGGACTGACCATTTGGCAAAAATGATAAGCACAAAGTCTCTAGCTGTTGCGCCCCTACATTTGACTCCCTTTCAGAATCCTGGAAGCAATTTGAATGCGTGAGCGGCCTTCACAATGGCCTGCGTTGGCCAGGCCATGTACGAATCAGTGCTTTTATCCTCCCTGGCGGATCTGATTCCACCTATGACGGATACGTATAAAATCTCGTGACCCCAAAGCACAAGAAACAGCGAACTACCCCTTTTCTGAACGATGTCTGGAAATCAATAGAGTTGTTCAAGGCTTTCACAGTTACCAGAGGTGGTTGAAGCCTTGCCAGCCGTCTAGGTTTATGTGCTCTGGAAAGCACTTTATTGTAGCTTTTGATCGTTACTGGAACTGTTGTCATCAACAGCTCTTGTGAGTGGGAAAAATCCTCTGTCCTCAACCACCCAACTAACTGAGCTGATGAGATAACTCGATTCGATGCAAATTTGAACCTCAATATGAAAACGGTAATTGATCGTCGAATAATAAACTTCCCAAGTACGAAAAGATCATGTGAAGTTCATTAAGCCAGAGAAAGCAGTAGTAGTTATTAGAAAAATGGCTGTAGGTTGCCCAATTGGCCATCGGATCGAAGTTCCAGTGCCGGACGAAAATCGAACTCTCCTCTCTAGACGTTTTTAATGGCTCCAAGTGTAACCATTACACTTCCCAGTCACGACGAAATCTGCCACACCTCCCTTCAGAGAGCTCATTATTCGATAGGAAAAAAGTTTTCCATGAACTCAGTAAAGACAGGGTTTGTGCAAGCATTCAAGTTCTTCAACTACGCCCTGCATATAATTCGTACGTAGATGCCTCTCATAGGATAATCGAGAAGTTTGATTGGAGAGTGTTTCCAGTAGGGCACGATAGGGACGCAGATTGGACCGAAATTGGTTTGATTGGAAAGTCTTTAAATATTCAAGAGGCATGAGGAAAATTCATGTAATGCTCGCTTTCGGCGGTGATCCTACGTGAAAAGGGTGAAGGATAAAGAACTTAGCATCAGTCAATCCCGTTTTTGGAACTCGACTCGAGCTTCAACAACTAGACAACTGCCTCCATACATGTCTACTGGTCTACTGTCTACTCGACCAATTTCATGTCACTGTTAGGCGCCGATGCCTCACAATGGCAGGAAATTGGTCAAACTTGTTTGTTATCGACTACTCCGCCTTATATAAACTGTGGTTTGATTGCAAAAAATGAAATTGAATATCGTTGCAGATCGATCAGCTACAACGAGAAAAGTGTCAGGGAGCCCAACTTGTGTCATAGTGAAAATCCCTCATTCTTCGCACAATTTCCAAGTTGAAGTGGTTCAAACGGCTCAAAGCCATAAAATGTGATTCAAAATTTGTGGTGGAAGCGATGTTTGAGTTATATAAAAAACTGGACATTACGATTCTTGAGAATGAGATTTTCATAGATTATTTTATCGCTTGCGATATGTGTTTGTACATATAGCTGTGGTTAGAGTACATTTTCAGTTGCTCAATGAAATTTCTATAAATGAGTGGAATAAATGAACAGCAGTGGTTCGGACATCAACCATTTTTTTGTTTGTTATAGAAAATATTTACAAGACATATATTATATGTTATATTTCCCGACAAGCGGGCTCGTCGACGTTTCGGGTCTCTCGGATTTCGAATGGCTTCACCCAATTTTTATGATCTGAGGCAACGCACGTCTTCAATCGCTTGATCCAGCGAGTTGTCACAAAGTTACCTGCGTGTTACCGCCTTGGGAACCAGATGATTCAAGTCAGTACTTAGGTCAAATACTCCCAGAAACAGCTTCACGAAAACAAGCTATCGTTAAAACTGGATACCACTAGGTAAGGACTGGCGAACAGATTGTAGGAGAAAGGGTTTCGTAGATATGTCAGTTTTCCCGTGCCGCCGTCAATCCAGATGCTCTGAGGTTGTGTTCAAGTAGGAGCCGGAACTCAAAGACTACATCTCGGAAACTATCGCACATTCAAACTCTTGGTAAGTACCACACAAAAGTTTTGTAGTGAATTTTCGATGAAATCTAGAAAACAATTTACGGGCGGTTGTTTAATCCAACTTAACCATTAAAATCCGTCATCTGCTGTGTGCCGCAATTGCGGAAAAGAGTTTGGGTGCGCGCGAATTCTGAACAGTCAAAAAAATATTGCCACCGGTTCGCGGTGCTTCATCTGGATGTCACTCGCCTGAGTAGTAGCTCTTCCCTTCCTTTTCTATTTGTTATTAAGGAACTTCTTGAAAAGTTTTCCAAACTAATAGTGCTCGAATTACATCCCAGCAAAGTGCCTTCTTCATTGCTCAGCGTTGCAAAGGACTCGAAGCTTGGTCGTAAACAATGGAGAAGAAGGTAATCAGTGTTCCAAATCATGGATTTTAGCTAAAACTCACTTATGGCAATTTTTTAAGAGCTTGCTTGTAAAGGGGGAAACGGAATGAAATTGTATGTGAGTGTTGTCCGACACATTTAAGTTCATTTTGAGTGCTACTTCTGGAGCTAGGTGTATGCATAGCTGATGACGCAGAAATGAGATATCGTAGTTTTCTTGAATCCATAGAGGTGATGTTCACTGTTTTAGGCGAACTTCTCGCCGTCTCGCAACCCATCACGTCCAGGTATAGGTTGTCTTCGAGTTCATTGTTTTCGTTGTTTGTTGTTTATTTGCTTCCAGCTACGCAATTAGCAGTATGAGCTCTTCGTAGTTATAACTTGAGCTGCTTATCAGATCAGTTTTATTCAGACCGTTCTCGCTCTCCACATTGTGAACGTTACCAGTGGGAAAAGGCTGGAGAACCGAAATCTGTTTTATATCCAGCCGATATCATGTTTCATCGACGGAGGTTGGTGTTCGAATTTTATTTTTTGAGTATTTAGGTTCCAAGCAATTACACGGATGCTTCACTTTGACCTTCTATCTAGTATCAAAGTTAAGAAGCGATCAGTCTACATGATTCCGATTTCGGTTATTCCGAAAACCTTTTTTGGATATTCACTGGGAACCTTAATTAGTTTTTCTTCTATTGCGAACTTTTCCCTCTTTTTTCCCCAGAACAAATGAAGCTCAAAAGCTTCTCAAGCCTCTTTGTTTAGAATCTTGGGCATCATTGCACTAAGTTGCTCAGAACTAATGATTGTTTCTCTTTTTCCGACGAAAAAGTTATGCCGGAGCAAAATAGAAATACTCTTAGTTCTTTCTATTTATTTATTTGTTCACTATCTAGGACCAAATCACAGTCAATGAATTTCTACGAATGAATCACGTCAATTTCCGATAATGTGTGAGCAAAAGCAAGAGAATGTTAATTTCTTCTGCTAATATTTTGTTGCAGCCTCAACAAATCAAAAGAGAGCAGCCGTTCACCAACTAGATCTTCTAGCTCACCATCTAGTGAGTTTTCCTCAGAGATGCTTACAATTTTGTGCTTCTGTGCAACTACGCCATTATGGTATCTCTGTAGCTCTTCTACAAGGTTTCATGGTTCATCTTACACAATTTTCATGATCTGTTAACTATAAATGCAGCAATGGAACTCTGAGTAAAATCAAGCTTTGATGAATCATACTATTTTTTGAAAAAATCAGTACTCCTGCAAAAACTCAGTCTTACCTCTTGCCTACCAATCTTACCTTCGCTCTAGAGGCGCTACTTTTTTTGATCTTTTTGATGTCTCCATTTCTGTATAACTACCATTTCAATTTCTTTTTATTTCAATAATTTAGAGCATAACCATACCACAATGTATTCGCGAATATCGCCTGTAAAAGAACGATCGCAGATTAACCGTGTTCGAACCACCTCGCTTCCGCATAATCGTGATTCTCATAGAATTGTTCAAAAGCAATCGGAACGCATGCAGAGATATAATCAAAGTGAGTTGGACTTGATTGACTGGTTTCCAAACTGACGATAAGTTCATCTTTGAAGTGCACAGCCCTTCTAAATCCATGGCCGTGTTGATGTCAAAGGACAACAAGTATAGTCCTACCAAGTCTAACCACACAACGCCCAAGAGTCGAAAGAATGAGCCATGGATAGTCGAGTTTTATACTAAGGGGCCGTTTGTGTATGATAGGGTTTGTTGTACATAGTTATTCCAGTTAATGTCAATGTATTTAAAGCGAATTGCTCATGGCCGTTGTTTTCAGCCTGACGGCAACCATGTGAGGAACTCTAGAGAGGAATCGCTTCTCTCTAAGGAAAACATCCGAATTATAGAGCAGCCGATTCGTCGAACTAATGCCTCACCAACGTCAGAAGATTGGAAACGGTTGAGAAAGGTATCTTCAGTGGGAGCTCTTCTTTTTGTGGTCACTTTATTAAGTCTGTCTAGTTTTTCGTAGTTCTATCACTTTATTTCATTTCCACTTAATGTTTATAGGATTCTTCTGACCTTCACACTGTTCTCAATAATCCTGCGCCAGAAGAAGACTCTGATGTGATGAAAATGGGTGCGGNTCTGACCTTCACACTGTTCTCAATAATCCTGCGCCAGAAGAAGACTCTGATGTGATGAAAATGGGTGCGGTTGGTTGTAAGATCCCATCAACACACAAAGATGTAGTCACACCTTCCAACAACGAAGGTTTATTTTCTTTCTTCCCTGAAGTTCCCTGAAGTTCATTTTTCAACTAACTTACTCTGCATGCAACCATCATTGAGTAATGCAGGTTTTTTGATTTGGAAAATAGCTTCCCAAGTTGCTGGATTTCTCGAGTTTTTGGATAAGTTTCAACTCATTTTACTTTGCTAATTCGGTGTGGCCCAGTAGATTGCCACCATAAGACTGCCATTCGTTCTTCTTCGAACTAAATGGATTATCATTGAACAAGCTAGAAGAAGTTAATGGGTCCCGTTTTGCTATTCGCCACGTTTTCCACTTTCCTACGGGATGAGAGCTCTGCTTCGTCGAATAGGTACGGCATCAAATGATTAAAGTCGAGATGGGAGGTTGATTCATAGTTGTTTTGATGACCTGGTTCCATTTNTTTCAGACCATGTGCACCTTAAAGCCACTGCAACTGATGCATATGCATTCGTATATGATCTAATTTATTCTTCATTTTACAATTATACTTAGGTTCATTTTACATACCTTGATTACCTGCTCAGATCCTCAAAATGCTGCAACTCCTGAAAACTATGGCAGTCTCAATGATGTCTTTTACACTCCAATGACGCATCTACGTATTTCACGACGCGAGGAAAGGTAATACGGACCATTGCATTTTATTGGCCTCCTGAAATAGTTTTTTCAGCAATTTCTCGAACCCCTACAACTCAGGGACTGTACACCAGTTCTCACCTCCTGCTTCAAGACCACAATTTTCCTTGATCGCCGGCAAAGGTTTTGATGCTTTGATTTTTTATCACTTCTTGCGTACATTCTGTTTTCAGAGAGCATATCTGCTGTGCATTCTCCATTAGATCGAAGTGTTTCTATCAAAGAGAGAACCGAAGCGCAATTGGCTGTGTTTGATAGAATTTCTAGTAATCTAGACATTGCTATCAAACAAGCTAGAGATGTCCTGAGGTTTGTGTTTTTTCGGAGCCTGGTCAATGTCTTCGCTATACTACAGTCAATTTGCATCGAGGTTATGATTGTTTATGTGGAAGGAGAAAATAACAGGCGGGCTATAGAAGGCCAGCCTTCTCCTGCAGGAGAGTTAAACATTTTTGCTATTGCGATATCGGTCAGATTACTTGATTTCCTCGTAGAAATCTTCCCCGTCCCATTTAGTACTCGACCGAGTTTAGATGATTGAATTTCACCCAAATGAACTCACATAGTAACCTTCTGCGTGGCCCGTGCTCATATTCGTTTACAGTTGCAGGCGAAGTAAAGTAAAACGTGGGTAAACTTCAAACACCTTATCATCTGTTTAATAATACTTTCTGCACCCGTATTCATTACTATTCTGCTATGTGTCATTTCAGTAAACCTATTCGTTTGGGTCTGCCTCCGCTTGACTCTGTGGAAATTCCACCATTCAATGATAATCGCCAAACAATTGATCCTGGTCAGCTTGAGAGACTTAAGCAAATGAGAGAAGGTGAAAAGTAGCATCGAATAATAAATTATGATATTCATGGCCTTTATTATTCGATAATCCTTGTTGAAGTTTCTTTTACCCCTATCATATTTCCAGAGCTACCGTCGTTATCACGTCATTCGTTACCTGCGGGTATTGACTTTTCCAAGTTTGGAAACACAACTACCGCAATGTCAGACGTAACACTAGGTCTCAGTAGTGGACAGGCGCCCGGTGAAAGGGGTAAAGCTTTCGAAAACACCGTCGAATCTCCGTCTTCGGAGGTAATGCGCTCCTCGTATCATCGTGTTTCCCAAGTCCCTGTGCAAATTTGTTTGGTTTTCAGAATAAGCGAATGAAGAATACGGAGATTTCGTTACCCAAGGCGCTTAGTGCAAGGTATGTTTCGTGCACCAATTAATATACCCATTTTGCTTTTCCTATCAAATGAGTATGCTTCTGCATTCATCACTTCGTTCCTCTCTAATTTAAGAAATTGAAAAAATCATCCGTTTTCTTCGGTCTGCATACTTTCAGAATTTGAGTTGAGGTAATTTTTAGTATGGCTGCTGAGCTGGCCTATGCAGAACGAGTGGAGAAAACTCAGTTACATTTAGACGCATCTCGGTGTCTCGCCAAGGAAGTTGAAGAGAAAATACGAACTGATCAGGTACCACCGCAGTGAATTCTTGATAAAGGCGTTGACTAATGCTTGCGATTCCCTCGAAGCGTAGGTTCGTCATGCATTTTTCAGCAAAACAAAAATGCTGATATTGACGCGCTTTTGGACTCATTCATTCTTCAGGATAGGTCACCAGTGGCCTATGAAAACGAAACGGCTTGTTCTCATGAGCAAACCAGGTAACAGTTATTTTGCATTTTCAGCATGTGACGACTCAAAAGCATAAGATCTGTAGCCCTTTTTTGGCAATTATAGTTCAGTGTATACCTGAAATAAACTTTTCTTTCCATGAAAAAAAAANAAAAAAAAATTAAGCGTACTTCCCTTCGGATCCATCATTTTCGGGTGCTGGATTGTGAGCCTTTATTTTTCTAGCAAAACATTTTATTGTTCAACTAATGGTTTAGTTCCCGCAAATCGTTTCTTTACAGTGCTGTCTCTGTAAATGCAGTAACAAGGACGATCCCCCAGCAGATTCACTTCAGTTCGACTGACAACAAACACGTCGTTCTTAGTGAAGGTTAGTATTGAAAGGTTTTTATCTGAAATATTTACTTCATGATCAGTAAACTGGAACATTTTCGTTGCAGAAGAAAGGGAGGATCGAAGGGTTCATGTACAATCATACGTTCGCATGCATAAACATCTCCATAGTCTTCAACTTGTTATTCTCCGCCTGAGAAAAAAGTATGGTTCTTGCCGATTGCACAACGCCGATTTCTGAATAACTAGCTACTCGATCGTCATATTCCATCATTTCATTTAAATGCGTCATTTTTGGAACGCTCGGTTCTCTCGAATGAAACTCATTACTTAGAAGGACTCCATTTCTTTCTAGATTAGCTGGTTCTCAAGCCTCGGTGGCGGAATTTGATAATTCGATTGGTGCTGCGAACGCAGAGCATGAAAAGGCTGTTGAGGATGCTGAGTTGTTGCTAACTCAGAGATTCACGCCGGTTAGTTTCCTTTCCCTACCCTTTTCCCTCTGTTTCACTCAGTTCCGGAAAAATATTTTTTCCTCAATCGGCCATCCTCCTTACACCAATTTTTTCATAAGATCAGAAAATTGTCACAACTCACTCAAAATTTATAAGCTCGTAGAGGACACTAACAGTTTCTGTTCAGAGAGAATTTCTCATGATAATCAAACATCGACAGCAAAAGGTTTGCGATGCTACTGAGGAGTGTAGTAATACCATCAAACAGCTTCTGAATTTGGATGCTCCAGATCGACAGAGGTATTTCTCTTGAGCTCACAGTCAGCTATAACTATTCCCCCAGGACTGCTCTTCGTAGGCCTCCTCGCATAGCTTGCACAAGCAGGTTTCATTCATATTTTGCTTAGTCTCTGTTATCCTGACGGATTTTCCTCGCTCACACTACCTTCGTTTCTAATCATTGTTTTACATCTTTGTTTTAGAGAGATTTCGTCCAGAAAATCTGTTACTGTCGCAGCACATAAGCGAAATGCACCAAGTAAGGGCAGTGACTCGGTACGAATAGATACAAAAGCTCTGAATGACAGTGGTAAGTGTTCCTTCTTCACTATTTGGGCTTTTAACCCTCACTGAATTGTGATGAGGTCTTGAAGTTTATCAATGTTCCCATCGATCAACTCTGAAAGTATTGATGAATTTCAAGGCCATAAAATGCAGCTTAGGTTTACACATCACATTCTCGATTTCGGGCATTGTTTGCAGTTAATGATGGTGGTGGAGATTTGAGTGCGCGTGCCATGCGACGTAACTTGGAGGCTCGAAGAGAGCAAGCTGAAATGCTGAACAAGAGTTTCGAGGAGAGATCGAAAGACATCGAACAAAAGTAGGATGTTAACTCGTCATGGTTGCCTAATTTATGAAATGTCTATTGAATCAGACCCTCTGTGGGACAGACGGCTTCATTAATCGCGTAAAAAAGCAAAAATAACTTGCAGGACGAAAAAGTCAATAGCAGTTCAGCTTGTTAAGTATGATCGGGTCATCGCTGAGCGCACAAATCTGATCAGTCATCTTGAAAAGATTTCTACCGAAGGTTACAATGGTATGGTTTTTATGGAATTTCAAGCTACATTCATTGTGCCAACTACGATTTAAGCTCATAGATGTTGGACTACGTAGTTTTTCTTCCAGAAATGTTGACTTCACCTCTAAAAACTCCATCGCCTCGTCGTGAAGGCGTTGCTCCTTTGGATTTCAGTCAGTTGTCCCAAGAGCACTTCATCGATGAGGTTGCAGTATCGGATCAAAGCAGTAAAAATCATTCTAGCGGAATGCTGACTCATTTTGACGAGGTAACATTTTTGCTATTATTTTGTCCGACAATCTCTACCTTTCAGCTGTCTACCTTAGTACTTACCTACCACAGGAACCTTTTTCTAAGATTATACTGAGGGAGAGTCCGTTATTCATTCGTTTAGGAGCAAGCAGATGAGGGGATATCTCGGACTCTTTCGCAGTCAACGGTTTATGAAGATTCGCTGTCGCATTTTGATGACGATGTAAGACAGGCTGCAGTTCTTCAGATTTCGTATTTACTTCACTGCTGTTCTACTAAAATTCGCATCGGTTGTTTCATAGCGTTGAGCTGACTTTCTTGTTTCTTGAAGTGCTCTAGAAGTATAATGGAATTATACGTCTCAAATGTTTTTCATTTTGCCGCTGGCGTTGTTGCTCATTCTTTCTGGTTCATTTAAGGAGGAAAGGCCTGCCTCATCGAGCTCTGAGGCTACTTTGTACAAATCGGATATGGAGGACAAGAGTCCAGGAATGTCTCCCGGTAAAAAGACAGGTGAAAATCGCTCTCTCTCTCTTTTCCGAATTCGTGATGTTAGCTCTTTCTCTTCCGAATTTTGATTGTCGATGAAAAATTTTCAAGGTGACCTTCAACAACCGTCTCGTCGTACATTGGATACAGCTGAAACACTAGCTATGCTCTCTAGACACATCGTGTCCAAGGTGGACACGACATCCGAACATGACGATGTCAACCAGAAGATTCAGAGCATTATAGATGTAAGAAGTTGTTATGAAGGATATATCCAGCACAAGACTCTTAATGCTTACTATTTTCAGGAGGCTGTTCTGGATAGCGTTAAATCGCAGAAAGTAGCTGATGATGGTCCAGGTTTAGAGACAGTTGTGGAAGCTGTACCTGATGAGAAAATGACCAATGATGGCCATCATGCTGGAGAGGCCAATGTCACTACCGACTCATCTGCTAGAGCCAAAGAAGAGGATCACTCTATAAAGGGTCAAATATCGTCGAAGGCTGAGCAGCCTGAGCTTGATGATGAAACTCAAGAGCGTAAGCCTAGTGGTGCTGATGAAGCACGGTCTTTGCCTAGTACTCTCATAGGCGCGTCAACAGAGGTCGCACTTTCAGACGCATTCTGTCAACAGGATCTTGTTTCTCAGCCGTCAGGTCAGAAGGAAGTTTCAGCTGTGGTTCGCCCTCCCAAGGATTTTTCCCGATTGCGATTATTTTTTGGTAGCCCAGATGAACCGACTGAGGACGGTGCCGATTATCAGCCAACCGACGATGATGACATACCAAATTATCAGTTCGTGACGAGGACCGAACCTCACAGTGACATGTTGGCGGAGAACTCTGAAAACTCGGATCAGTTTCCGGAAACAGCCTCTGTCAACGACGATGGAGAGGTGCCCGTCGTAACCCTGAGGCGTTTTGTTTATAAGGAGTCAGTGATGACTCGAAAATATCAGGTGAGTGGTAAGGCGAGAAGAGTAGCATTTAACTTTTCCTTGAAAATTTGAAAATTCGCTGCAATTGCCTAACAGCACGGTTTAGGAAGATCCAGAGCTCGAAAAAACCCAATGGGAAATGACTCCATCCGGTTCTCCAGTTGGGAATCCAAGTCGGGAATCTTCGACGCAGAAGATCGATCTTAACGACGCTTTTATCCTGGATCTGTCCCATACACAAGGTTCAGACAGTACGTTGATTCCACTATCTCCTTTCTGTAAATCGTAGACCGTGCCCAGTGAAAGGATATAGCTGTTTTTAGATTTATCTTTATCTGTTGTGTACACGGTGTACACAACCCGAAGGGAGTTTTCCCAATCTTGGGCGAAATTCATAATTTATATAGTGAGATTGGAAGAATCATTTTGGAGCGAACGACTAGTCAATTGCCTGTTCGGGCATGATTCGAACAGTTCAGAATTGCATCGACTGTTCTCCCACATAGTAATTTCCGAAAAATTCGTAATCTCAAATTGTACGGTGCATGTGAGCGGCATACGAACATTCGAGTACTATGCGTTGAAAGAAGCGTATGTGTGCGCATGTTGTTCTTGAAACGTGAGGATAAGGACCAATATTGGTAGACTCCTTTCATACCTGATGTTTTTACTCATGAGATTGCATTAAACAAAGGAGCCCTTCAAAAACTTCGCAAGCTCTTCAAATACATGACGCCGGAACCAATGGCTCTCCCATTATTTCGACACTTGTTGTGGAGTCTATGATGTTTGGAAACGACATCCAAAGCGCTGATGTCGTTGTCCTGGTAAGGGGATGATGTTCATCTCCTGGTAGCTGATGCCGACTACCCGTCGCTGTGAGAGAGGACCCTCCAGGAATAAAGTGTAAAATTTTAGTATATCTTTCTGATTGGAGCCATTTTGGTTTCCCATTATGTCGCCTGGGACGGCTCTAAACTCTGCAAATTCTGCTGGAAACCTTTTGCCACTTCTCTTTCTGCCTTCTAAACTGGTTCTCATTTGCTGCTTTCGAATTTTCGATATATTTATTAATGGAGGCGGTTAAAATGGCAACGTTCACTGTAACTCTCCTAGAGCAAGAGATATGAGATAAATGTTTGTTTGAAAGAGTGGTAATAAGCATAAATTCTCACTTTGAAATCGCGCTTATATCCATTTTTGTCACTTTCTTCATTTCTAATATTTTTGCAGGAAATTATCCAACTCATGTCAAATAAGAGCTAACTCAATATTTCTTTTGAATCTGAGCAATTGGAGTATTATGGAAATCTGTTACTCATTCAACTTATGACTTATTCAAATGTTCTTCAGAAATAGAAACGGAGCTGGAACGACTAGAAGAGAAAAGTGAGTGGCTCACAGATGATGAGCAGCCATCACCAAAGGTGGGATTGGATGAGGAAATTGAGCAGAGTACGCTAGAAGAGGATCTTATTGGGCGCAGAGAAGAAACTAAACAAAACCGGGATCAAACTGTTGCGAGCGGTGATCAAGCGAACAACGAACCAGAACGTGCGGCTGCAATTGAGAAGCTCGATCTTTCTGTACTTGAGAATGACGGTGTCATTGACAAAGAAGAAGGGAGGAAATCGCTAACCGAAGAGTTCGGTCCTACATCAACTAAGTTTAGCAGTCCGGTGAACCTTGCAGAGGAGCGAGCTGGGACGTATGAAGGTGTCGGTGTCGTCGAAGATCAACAGAGCCTGTCGAAATCTACCAGTGTAGAAGAAAAAAGCTCAATCGAAGATAGAGACGAGCAAAAAGACTCGAAAGAAACTCGTTCGCAATCCTCCAAAAGCTGCGGTGATACTAGGTGAGATTTCTCTCGGTTTTTGCTTTGACCCGTTCTTTGTGACTATTGATATCGAGAATTTNTTCGGTGTCAGGCGGGCAGAGGGTGAATCTCTGTTTTTGATGGAGGATGATTGGAACCTTGCATCTCCTTTGGGGGCTGGGTTTTGATTGCCCAAGATGAGCCATTTCAGACCCTTTCGCTGGAAACGGCTTAGAGTTGTCTGCTTACTCAATTTTTTTATGGCATAGCCTTCGAAAGTAGCACTGTTGTAAGGCGCTTTTAGTATGTGACATTGTTAGCCCTTATGAAATACCTGGCCTATTGGTCGGATCCTACTGTGGACTTTTCTTTTTATAGTTCTAGCATTACTTTTTCGTGTAACAGCGTAATATTTAGTGAGGCATGGCATGAAAGTTCCAAGCTCTGCCCTGATAATGCTGAGTGTGGCAAGAGCGTAAATGAGATCTTCTTGATGGAACCCACCACTGATGGTCGACCGAGTGTGGTAAGCAGTACAGGCACATCCTTACAAAGTGAGAGATATCACAGTTTCAGGACTTGAACCGTAGCGAACTATGCGACAGTTTGTCCACATCCATAATGCAGTTCATGACAGAAACGGCTTCACCACGACGTCCATCCTTGTCAAGGGTAGTTGGACGCTACCAATTGAGCGATTCCCTGTTGGAGGATTCCATTTCTTCAGTGTCAATGTCGCCACGTACTATGCAAGAGTAAGTATCTTGCTTGAACAAAATCTTTTTATTTTTTATGCTTATGACTTATTCAAGCCGGTTTACCACGAAAATGCCTGCTTCGTTATCACCTCGATCTAAAGTGTTGCTAGAAGAAAACCTAAACAGTTCACTGGTGAGTGCAATCATGTACTGTTGATTCGTAACTGTCTTTTTTCTTTTTAATAGAGTCCTGAATAGTTTCGTTCGAGACATTAACTACTCCATTCACTGTGGACTCTAAAATTAGAAGCTAGATGTGCTTCGCTTTCCTGGGCTTCTGACATTTTTATCTGAAGAATTTTGTCTAACATTTTTCAAGCGTGTCTAGCCGTCTCTATAAGCAAACCCCTTCCCTTTTTTTAGAACAGCGCCTTATTATTATTAACTTTGCTGGAAATCGTGACTTGGACGTACTTATTGAAGGTTGCCCCAAATCGAAACGAGCTCATGAGTTCAGTGAGAATTGATACTACCATCTCTGCAAACCTGCAAAAGTACTGGGAATCATATGAAGGAAGAGCAGAGGAAACTTCTTCCGAGTAGTGGTCATTGTTCAATGGTACTGTTTCAGGTGGAAACAATCGTGAAATCAGAAACAGTGATGGCAGTCACAGATGAAAAACTGCGTGAAATCGACGAGCAAGTAGGTAAGTACCTCAGAACTCAATTGCATACTGTTTCTCCTTTAATGTTTAGTGCTTCGTGCTGTCCAGTTTACTTGCAAAGTTCGGAAGGTGTATGCCCCTTGAACTATTGTGAACGTCGGGGTCACTTGAGCCAGATATATAAAACGATTGTAAATGGTTTCTTTGGATAGCCTTTGTTTGGATTCCTTACAGCTCTTATATCCTACTACAACTCGGATAAGCCGCGGACGCCGGGTTCTCCTCTCTCTCTCGTATCTAAGTTGGCCTGCATTTTTACGTTTGAAAGCTTTGGTTCGAAAAAAAGAACAGACAGTAGTTACTAACTTCCACCGAAACACATACACTGACACATTTCGTGCGCGTCCTCGCCACCGAAAGCGAAGCCCTGCTTAAGTTCTGTGTAATTAAATAATATGGCTCATTCCAATTCGACTGATTGTTTTTACTCAGATTACGCTGATTTCACACATTCTCCGCCCCCTCCATACTCATACACAACCCCTGCCCCCCCCCCCCCCCCCCCCCCCCCNCCCCCCCCCCCCCCCCCCCCCCCTACCCCTCTTCTAGGGTAAGATCCAGTTCAGTCTTTTTCTAACACTCTACTGTAGCCGCGTTTCGGTGGAGTCCGGTCCAACTACCTACCATAAGCATTTCCAAGTAACCCTACCATATTTGAACGCCCCAGGTTTTCTTCACCGCTTTGCTCACTTCAGCATTGTGCATTCACGTAAGGCAGATTAACCCATTGACGACCATGACGTTTTGCGGGAAAAGCACCGCGAGGGACCGGCGCGCTTTTAGTCCACTCGCGACTGCAGCCCACATGTGGATATTATGGTTAAGCATGACCATTTTTTGAAGTTTATAAGAGAAATCCATAAGTTTTCCGGAATATTCCTTCAAATGGGTTTGGTAAGAAAGCATACATTGAGTGATTATTGATCTTTATCGGCACTCGTTCTAGCTGTTATTCAGTTATGAGTTAAATCATTACCAGAAATCGTTTCGGGGAACTTTTACGAGCTTTGCATTTGGTCGACAACAGCAAAAATGCTATTGGCGACAGTCTTTCCGGAATATCTCATTTTTTGAAGCTATTCAGCGAACGAAGAATTCACCAAGATAATGTACTCCTTCGAAAAAACACCTTCACAATTGCAAAATCAGAAGATTTTCTATGACCCACCCTGTATGTAGTTTCATTTAGGTCTGTGTAATGTTTCGAGAAGAAAATTGAAAAGAAAGTGAAAATATAGATGAATAAAGCAAAAAATATACAACTGCAGTCCACATGTGGACTGCACGGTCCCACTGGCTGAAAAAGTGCAGTCCACATGTGGACTGCATGGTCGTCAATGGGTTAACGCTGTGGGAGCCGTGGCTGATGCACCGATTATAACGATCTGTGGTGGATTTGACCTATTAAGTTGCAACGTTGTCATCATTAATGACAACCGTTTTTTGCGAGAAAGACTGGAAGCAGAATGGTAGGCGTAGTAAGAGATTTTAAGCGTGGCAAGTCAGGCGTAAGCTGTTCGGTCCGAACGGTAGTCTATGAAGTGAAATCTTCATCCTCCACTTCTTACCTTTCCCTTACAACGTTTTAGTTACCTATTTTTGTTACTTTTTAAAAGTAGTAAAGCAGGTGTTAAGAGCAATTGTATCATATTGTTATATTACATCGATATCCACATATCATTGTTCTTTATGGTCGATAAAAAGGTTTTTCCCAAGGAGGTATCAGCACCTATTTGGGTTCACAGTTAAGATGACACCTGTCTTTATGTATATTGAAATAGTTACAGCGTCACTGAAAGTCAAATCGCCATCAGTCGAGAAGGTTGGGATCGCGTCAGCGACGGATCTTAATTTATCACAGAATGACACATTTGAAGATCTGTTATCAGTGGAAAAGGTGAGCCCTGTAAGACTTTCAATTTTAAGCAAAATGTGATATCTGACTTCTACTCTTGCTTTTACAGCCCTACTCCCTGTTCGACAAGCTTGGCTCGACTGATCAGGTCCCTGCAGATTTTCCCTTGAAGCACGGTCGGTTGTTAATCTAAGGAATCGATGTCGTGGTTGATTTAATGGCAAGAGCGCCAAGACTACTTCATAAAATTTTGCAGTTCATTTAGTCACTCTCTGTCATAGATGCTAGCATGTCACTAGATTATTTTTACTTTGTTACTGAAATCTCTCTTTATTTTATGGTTTTCAGTCGCGGACACTCCTCGAAAGCCTCCACCTCAAGGAATTTCTCCAGCGACGCCTGAGGCGATTGAACGACAGCACCATGCGGAGCTCACGAACAAGTTTGACTCTCCGGAGTGGATGGAGAAAATGGTACGTCAATTCTTCCATCTTCATAGAAAAGAATAAAATGTTCTTTGAAATTCCAGTGTCGCCTGTACTCAAAGGTTGTGTGGAACTTCCTGGCGTCGGAAGGATTCGTGCGTCCAATTTATGACCACCTTGTGTCTGCTCCAACATGTAGCGATGATGAGCTTGTTGAGACTGAAGATGAACGGGACCTTTTGGATAACAAAAAGTGAGTCGCTTTCCAGATCTCCATATGTTGGATATGTGAACGCAAATGGTAATGGTACTCGTGATAAAGTCCGAATGTTAGCATTCTAAAAACTTTTCAACGTAAAAAAAANAAAAAAAATTGCCAAGCTGACTCGGAAAAAGAACTATAAGAACAAAACACATCTTCAGGGATTAAGGAAGCCGAAATACTTTGAGGACATATCATCCTTTACTATACTTAACGTTTATATTTTCACTAATCCTTTCATATTTACTCTTCTTGTGAACTGATGATCGTTGCTGCTAGATGTTAGTGAGATGAATCGGTTTAGAACTTTAATCTGGGCAGCTGTAACTGAATTAGCAGCGATGCTCTGGCCTGAGCATCCTGAAAGAGGCGATGTTGTTAGTTCCAAATGGCTGCCCATACCATCAGACGAGGAGCAGTTCTCCGAAATGGCCGTTCAGTATATCAATGATCAGTTTGGTGGTTAGTTTATTTTGGATTTCTGTTGAATTCGCTTTTGTACATTTATTATTAAAATACCCTAAAATACATAAGTAATGCATTGTGGAAGCGTTCGAATTGGAACCTCAGGGTGCCTCACAATTTTGTTTTATGATTGGATTCATGATAGTAAATGTTGAAGCAACACAGCTGTTTTTGTCTTCTTTTTTTTACTTGCTTGTTTATTGTTGTTATTATTTATTGTTTATTGTTTGTTTTTTGTTTTATGATAATATCTAATTAATCGAAAATAGTATCATTACCCTAGCAATATAGAGGCATCAATTTTGAATGAAGGCCCATATTTTCCTAGAGCTTCCACCATCCCATCGCTACAAGCGTCAATTTCGCCCATCAGGGTCATCACCTGCTGACGACGCCATCGACGAGTCGGTAGCACGACTTTTCTACGGACGTGGTATCAATAACTTTGTGAGTTTATAACTTTTCGGAAAACCGAACAGTTTGTATGTTGCTTATTTTGGCCTCAGTTAGTGAGGTAAAACTGAAAGTTCTTACATGTATACCGGAATTTTCGCGTCAGAACATATTTGCTCTTATTAATAAGCTCACAATTGGAAAAAATTGCCTTCATTAGTTGCAAACTGTGCTGTATGGGTTCTATGGATGCATAGATACTTCGAATCTTTCATTTCAATGGCATGTAATCACATAGCTTGTTCTTAACACAATTCATGTCGAAATATTGTTGAAACTCGTGCCTAATGTTAAGAAACAAAAGGCTTGACATGAAAAGTATTATTCGCACTTTCACTGGTTCACTAAATATAAACAAAAGAACGTCAATATCAAAGCAGCGCTGTTAGGGCAGTAGTGAATAAGTCTACGAATAAAACAATGAAAAGGTCTATCAGCGTCTGTAAACCACATAGTTGTAGTTTCTGATGAAAAATTGTCTATTTCTTTGTCTATGGGTAGTTTCAAGGAATAATTTCGAGCAAACGGAGCCCCTAACAGTGGTATCTCTGTCAAACCTCTCCTCAGTTTTAGTAGCCTATCTAAGCTTATTCAAAGATCATTCCGTCATTGAATTTTTTCAAAACTATCTCTTGAGCAGATTCATTCAGGACGATTTCAATTAATCTATAATAATTAATTAGTAATTTCGTTCCAATAAGCTTATTCTTAAACCTCCGTGAATTTTTTTCGAGTAGGTGTTAAGGAATGGAACGCTGGTCAAAGCAAATTTTTTAGTAAACCGATTTCAATTACAGGATCAGTCATCGGATTAATCAGTAAGAGAGCAAGGTAATGGAAGATACCTGCCAGAATCTTTTGGATAATAAACCTTTTTGCTTTCTTGGTGAAACATGCCTAGAGTAATGCAATGAATGTTACAACATAGGTTGCAGTATGGTTTGGTCTTGTTTAAAATATTAGGCCGTCCGAGCGGGTCTGAGAAGAGACAATGATTAAGTGGATACACCTCCCGAATGTTGGAGGTGCTCATTCTTACGGGCTTCCATTCACAGTTTTTCTCTTTCTCTGTTTCTTGCCTCCAGTAATTCGAATGACCGGGTAAGAATTCTTTTAAGATATTCTCGACATACTATCTTCGCGATCTAGAAGAGCAGTTTTCATTAGAAGCTTGTCTAGAACTTATCGCTGTGTAAGGAATCGTCACTTAAGCACACCCATGCGTTGTAATCGTGAGGATGACGAATTCTTCGTACAATATTCAACTTTTGATCTTGAGACTGAATATTTATCTGACCGCTGTCGTTCCACACGCGCATGCTCGGCTTTTGTTGTAGTGACTTATGGTGATAATTGCTACAAAGTTGTACGAATGTTTTGGTTTTTCTGGTGTGTGCGATTCAAGTACATCGTTGGAAGCTGTGAGTTATTCGACTGGGCTAACGGGTCGAGGAACCAGTTCCCCAGCTAGTCACGTGGGGTTTTGACTGATAATTTCGATTTTTTGTCGCGATTCTGAATTCATTGGAACGTTGATGGCCAAAAGAGCTTTTGAAATTTTCTGTTGTTTTGCTTCCATTTATTTATAATTTTCAATTGATTCTTTGTCAGGCACGCGGAGTAGATGCCGAGTACCGTACGATGTGCGGAGAGCTGATCAATCTAGTCGGTGATCGATTTGTTTCGAGAGAAATACAACAGATGCATCATCGTTTGGATGACGACGACAACGAGTCACTTCTAACGCCATCAACATCTTCGATAGGCCGGTTAAGCGGTGACTTCGGTCGTCCCTCTTTGGCTCGACTTTCAATTGGCAGCAACTCGTCCATAGGACGACGTTCATCGGCAAACGCCGTCATTGTTAAGTCGCTTGGCGTTGTGCATGAAGAGTAGATATAGGTGCTCCTTGTAAGATCTCTCAATTTGTATACCGTAATCTCACTTGACGGGACACCAGTTATTGGTCACATTGCGTTCAACATAGGGTGTCAACTGCCGGTTGTTTACTTTCATTCGATATTTTCATGTGTATGTTTTACTCCATATTAAAGCTTCATCATCACCTTACTGTATACCTGAATACAATAACTTGATAATCATTTTTACAATTTTCTAATCAGAAATTTTCGTCAGTGCTGCGATCGTTTCACATTTTATCTATTCCAATGAATTTTTCTCCTTTTTCCTTCTAGAAGTTTGCTTTTGCTGCGTACGATCACTTATATTCTTGAATAGGTATATTCATTGGATGATTGGTTCAAAGGTTTTTAAAGATTTCAATGTGATTTTGTCTTACTTTCCGATATCTCACTTGAAAGCTCCTCCTTAATTTTCGGCGGTCGTTGTGTTCAATGCATGAAATGGAATTTCTAGTATGAGCATGAGTGGTTCGAAAACGCCGCTTCTGTAGGATGATCCATTTCTCCAATCTATTTTGGGTAGACAAGTCTTTTAGCTCTTGGAAATAGGAAAATCCGATTCTATTCCAGATATATCAGTCTTTTGTCAATGGAGTTTATTATTCGTATCTTTTTTCGGAAATACACCTATTAGTCTATTACGAAGCTCGTTCTTGAAGGAGGCATAGTAAGTGCAATGGTAATATGACTTTCTATTCGGGAAGCAGGATCTTATTGCTAAGGAGATCGCGCAAAAAAATTAGCCGCTGGACTAATAGCAAACCACGGTCATCAGTCCCAATAGAACGAGATTCACGACGTCTTTTTAATCGGAAAGATCGCCTCACTCGATCGATTCGACTTCATTCTAATTGGCGATCACTTGCAGATTCCTTATGGTCTGATCTGAATACTTAACAGTTTTTACTGTTCTCAAAGCCGTGCATTTTGATGGATAATATCAACGGTGCTCTTCTTGTTAATAATAATTACCATTAAAAATCACAGAGGCAAAGAGCATCTCTTCGTTGAGGTGTGAACGTGTGGATGGGGTGCACATACGCGTCGTATACACCCAGGCGAACAAGGGTGGGGCTGTTAGCCTCAGTTGTCTCCTTTGTAGAAGTCTCTATCCCTGTAGTAGCAGTATTTTTATGTCTCCCTTCCTGCTTTTTTCTCAGTCGCTAACTTGTTCAGGGTATAGACTACTCTTCTGATTTTATTGCGCACAGCTCGGCTCGATCCTAATTCGATGGTAAAATTATTGGGGTTCCAAAACTTGCGTTCTTAGTCGCTGCTCTCATGGTCCACGATTCTACCCGCGAGCGACAGGGAGCGGCGCTTGCCCCTTGTTCACAACTGAATCTTGGTCGATCGCCAGAGGAGTAGTCCTCCGGTCCCTCGCTCGCTCGCGGGCCGAATCGTGGACTATGAAAGCGGCCACTGCTACACTTTTCTTCGAAAACCTTTTTATGTAATAATTACTACCCGCAGACTGCTCCTTCTGCGATTTTTGTATTATTGTTTTTATTTTATTGTATCAAGCAGTTAGAGAAGATAATTGGCATTTGCTTTCTTCTTTTTCAACCCATCTTCTTTCTGAGAGAGCAATACTTCATTTGCACGTCGTAGTTGTTATTTTTCAGTGTGATTCTCTATTCGGTCATGAGATCCTACTATTTTAGAATAATTGACCAGCTTCAAACTCCATCCTGAGATACACCTTCAAGCATTTCTTACTCCAATTATTCGATGCTATAAAAAAAACATGAAGCTGCCGCAAGGAGATCGATCGCACTTGGCGTACGAGGGCTGTTTTTTTAGACTTTGCCCCACCTTCCCTTGGGTGAATTTATTTTTATATTTCGCCATTGTATTGAGCCTTTCACAGCAAATGTCGCATGCTTTCATTTTCACTGAAGTTCTGAATTGCCAATGATCTTACGTGAATAAGTCACTGGGCAAAAAACCATGTTCACATGACTTTCGTGTCACGCGGAGGCTGGGCAGGGATGGGTGAATCCGGTTTGATCGGTGGCTATGGGGAGGAAGCCAGTGAACAGGATCCTCCCCATGGCCGCGGATCTGATCAGTTGGGCTGTTTATGGTTACGCTCATGGTGTGAGTCATTACTCCTTTGCTTTCATTAATAGGTTTTCCATTTCTCTGCTTTTTCTTTCTTCACTTTCGGTCCTTTCTGTTTGGTATGCGTTTGAATATTCAGTTCCCCCTCCCCTTCTTAGTTTTTTTTTTGTCAAAATTTCCTCTTTTCCAGTTTTTCATGCTAATAATATCTCCCCTGGTTCTTTAACACGTAAGCGCTCCTCACTAAACGCCTTTCTCCTGCCGTTTTTACGAGCTCGCCT